TGCCATGTTTATCGGTATGCATTTTTATCATCAACTCAAATATGGCTATGAACTATACATATTTTTACCCATGTCATTTATATTATTGACTTTTTTTTTTGAGAGATTTTCACTGTAGGGCGCGTGCACTTGCCAGACAGACAGAGAGAGACATAGAGACAGAAAGCGAGAAATCACCCCCCAGGGGGGATGATCACGCCACAATCCCTTCTCCTTCATTCTCCTCTCGGGATCTTGGGCACGCACGCACACGCGCCCGGCGTGAGTTTTAAGCCACCGGGTCCAGGACACGAACCGCGGTCGAGGGAGTCCAGCGACATAGCCATTACGCTAACTGCTGATTCCCTATTATTGACTTTTTATCTATCAAATTTGTGGCAAATATTTTTTAAGTTTATTTAGTCTAGCTGATTTTTTATCAATTTTTTTCCTGTAAGTTTTTCCCTTTAAACCAATTGTTCACTTAACCTCTTCTGGGCCAAGATTGCATTAAAAGAGCTCTCTTATTTTCCTGGTGCTGGGGTGCCTTTAGTTTCAGTCTACTGTGACCCTGCCCACAGGGCTCTCTCTTGCCAGCTACTCACTGCAAATAACTTTCTTATGAGCCAGTGTCAGGCTGTTCCTACTTACTGACCAGCTGTCTAGGGACAAGGAGAGAAAAAGAAGACAGCTGAGGTAGTGACTCTAAGGATGAGCTTTGTGGATGCTGTGTGGTTAGCCTAGAAATTGACCATCAGAGAACAGGTAACATGAATACATTTCTGAACCAGTAGGAGAACGGAGGTCGAGGCTTCGCTCTCAGTCCTATATTAAGCAGAACAATTTGTTCTTGCTAGCAACCTGTGAGTAATTTTCATTTATTGAGATTTTTTGTTTATATATATTCATTGTATGTATTTGTAGAACAAAATATGCATATAGTAATAATCAAATCAAGGATATACACATATTCATCTTCTTCGACATTGAACATTACATTATGTTGTGCACATTTGATAATAGTTCTGCTGTTTATTTTTTGTTTTTGTTTTTGTCTTTTTGTTTTTTTTGTGTGTGTATGTATTGAATTGTCCACATTTCCACTCTGCTGTGGTACACCATTGCAAAACCTAGGACCCCTTATTTGTGTACAATCTTGTTCTGTTACTATTTTCTCCTGAATCCCACATTCACACCTCCCCAACCCAAATTCAGCTTCCATTACCTACCATTTCTGTTTCTATTCCCATGTTCTTGAGACCTTCGGTTTCTTCTATGGAGTATGGACATTTGGTATTTGCTAAGCAGAGACATGCAATATTTGTCTTCATAGCCCAGTTTATTTCTCTTAACATTATATCTTCTAGGTTTGTCTACTTTGTATCAAAAAGCAGTATTTTGTTGTTCTTGATGGCAGGGCCAAGTAGTATTCCATTGTGTATATGTGCCACATTTTGCCAATCCATTAATGGTTCTTGAGCACTTAGGTTGGTTCCACTTTGTAGTTATTGTAAATAGTACTGCAATAACACAAAAAATAGACAAATATAATGGCAGTTTTAAAATCTACTTCCAGTGGTTTTAGAGTAAGCATTTTATCACTGTGTTGGTGACAATATTATTCTCAACTCAACTTTTGGTAGAGATGTGGGTTTAATTATTTCTGTCTTACCATTAAATATAAGATCTCAGAGGGAAGGGGCCATGTTGGTTTTGTTCACCTGGCTTTACCCAGTTCTCAGTTCAATTTCTGACATTCGTATCATCTTTAAATGTTTGTCAAGGAGTAAATGAATGGCTGTGAAGAGCACAATGTGAGTGATGAAGGCAGGCTACACCTGCACCTCTAGGCTGGAATGTGGGGGTGTGCGCAGGTACTCCCCGGTTGTTGGGTTGACTTCCCTACCTAAGGGTGCTACACTCATTTGTTTGTGCAACTCCTTATGTTTATTGTAGTTTTTGGATTTATTTTTTCTATTTGGTATTTTTTTTTCTCTCAAATTGATCTCTTCTAGGTAAATTTCCATGGTGATCATTTTGTCCTTGTATTCTTTCAGTTAGGGGGTATTACTTGGCATAATAATTGAAGGATCATTATAGGTTTTTATCTGAGAAATAAATTGCTTTTTACAGAAGACAAATCATTTTTAAAGGGAGATTATTGCTATAGGTCACATGTGCTCACTGCAGAGACAGAAGGCAAGAAATCACCCCCCCCCAGGGGAATGGCCACACCACAATCCTTTCTCCTCCATTTTCCTCTTAAGATTTTGGGCATGCACACACACACGTCGAATACAAGCGTTAAGCTGCCAGATCCAAGACTCAAGTCATGGTCAACTACATGGGAGTCCAGCAATGTAATCATTACACCATCTGCTGGTCGCCAGAAATTTCAGTATTAAATCAAACTTCCATAAAACTCACACTATTAATTAATTAATTTATTAATTTATTACTTATTCATTTATTTTAATCTATTTTATATATTCAATCATTGTTCATTTTACAGCTTGTAAAATGTATTTAACCAACATGAATACACTTCATACCAGTCCTGTTAAAGATATCATACATGTTATCATCAATAGACAATCCTCCACTTCTATATCCCTTAAATGTCTCACCTCTCTATTTTTCTCTTTGATTCCTTTCCTCTCACTCTCCTCTAATTCCAATCCTCCTCCCACACTGTCTTTAGTATCCACAATGATTTTCCATGCTTCAGTGTCCTCTAATTTTTCTGTTTCTGACATAGAGTGCAGACATTTGGTATAAATTAAGTGGAGACTTACAGTGTCTCTCTTTCAAAGTCTTGCTTGCTTCACTCAGCAGTAAATCTTCCATATTCATCTACTTTCTATCAAATGCCAGGATCCTGTTATTTTTTATGTCTGAGTAGTATTCTATAGTATATATATATGCCATACTTTTTCAGTCCATTCTTCTGTTCATGGACATTTGGGTTGGTCCCATATCTTAGCCATTGTGAATAATGATGCAATAAACTATTGTTTCTTATTTATTACATTTAATCATTATACATCTTTACAGCATACAAAGTGGTTTTTTTTTTTCAGCATAAATACAGTATATATTAGTGAAGTAAAAAATATTACCAGAACGACTAGCAAGTGGCATGGTGGTTAAGGCATTGGACTTCCACATGGCCAACCACAATTTGAGACCCAGACTTGGTGGTTTGATTTCTCACCTCCCACCTCCTCTCTGATGAGTGCACATGGCCTATAGCAAATTTAAAAATAAAATAAAATAAAAAATTTAAAAACTAATAATGGGGCATGGCGTAATGGCAGTGTCGCTGGACTCTCATGTAGTCGACCACGGTTCAAGTCCCAGACCTAGTGGCTTAAACTCATGCTGGGTGCATATGCGTGAGTGCCCAAGATCCTGGGAGGAGAATGGAGGAAAAGGGATTGTGGTGTAGCCGTCTTCCCCTGGAGGGTGATTTCTCACTTTCTTTCTCACTGTTGCTGTCTCTCTTTCTCCCCACCCCCTCTCTCTCACACACACACCCTAAGGCAAATACCTCTAAAAAAACCTAATAATAAAAAAAATAAAATAAATAATTATAAAATATTACCAGAAACCACGTTTTTATTGATAAGAAACTAAAATTCTTCAAATTTAAACACAGAAAAAACTGCTCAGATGTCTTACTATAAAACCAATTTTCGAGGCTAGTAGGTGAAATGGTGGTTAATGCACTGGACTCCCACATGGCTGACCACTGTTCAAATCCCAAACATGGTGACTTGCTTTCCCACTTTCACTCTATCTCTTTCTCTCTCTCTTGTGCATATGCCCTACGGCAAAATAAAAAAAGAAGAATGAACATAATTAAATAATATAATTCTTTAAAACAACAACAACAACTTTCAATTCGCTACACTGTAGGCAGACAGAGTGTGATGGAGTGCTCCCTCACATGCATATCTTTTTGGTGTAGTCACTGCTGTTAACTTCTGTAACAAATTACAATTTTTCTGTGTCTGTTAAATTACTATGTTTTACATATGCTGTTTATTAGAGCTCCTGCCAAATAAGAGGTATCTATCATGCTACCAAACTAGAAAGTGAAGACGCTGTTTGATTGTGGAGATGGAGGACAGGTCTCGGCACCCTGGCATGCTAATAAAGTTCAGGAGCTCAGGGCGGTGCCCCCAACTCACAGAGAATCGGGGAGGAGAAGGTTTCTATCTGTGTCTGCCTTAAGTTTTCCAGGGAAGAGTAGATTGGGCTAGGCTAAGCCTATGTGAAACTGGAAAGTGGAAAATAGGCTCCAGAAGCAAGCCAGGAGAAGACACCAAATATGGCAGCAGCCTGTGCTCAGCAGGTGGGGAGGTGTACCGCTCCAGAAGTGAGGCTGAGCCTAACACAGGGCCTGAATGGTGCTGAGTCCCTGGGGAACGACACAGATGATCACTGGCTAACCCTACTTGCAAATCAAGAGAACAGGAGCTCTGCATTCATGTTCCTGTGGTTGCTCACATCCATATTACCACAACCTTTGTACATCCTCATACTTTCATTAAAACTTCTTTAATTATAAACACATGACTTGTAGCCCTGTCAGATCATGTACTATCCTGTCAGCACAAAGTATAAATTGTGCATGTAGATGTTGGTTTTCTGAGCTCCCTCCTGTACCAATTATTGAATATCATCCTTGTCATCATCAGAGTTGTAATGAAATGAATTGATCTAAGTATAATCTCCTCCTTCCTCTCTTCCATTGCATGTTTAGGTAATGCGTTAAAGTCAGTAGAATATCTGTGTTCTTTTCTTGCTTCCAGCTTATTAATTTGAGTATCCACTTCCTGAACATAACCAAATGTACTAAAGATAAGGATGAGATATGGAAAAATATCATTGCACTTGCTCTGCATGTTAGGGACACCTTTCCTGCATATACCAAGACTACACACCTTCCAACTTCAGAAAAGAATTCTTATTTGTGCATATGTGACTTTAAAGTATACATTCCTTTCTTCCTGTAGGTGGAATGGCTGAAAAACGAGGAGCCCATTGACTCAGAACAAGATGAGAACATTGACACCAGGGCTGACCACAACCTGATCATCAGACAGGCACGGCTCTCAGACTCAGGGAATTACACCTGCATGGCTGCCAACATTGTGGCCAGGAGGAGGAGTCTGTCAGCCACCGTGGTGGTCTATGGTAAGACCAGCCCAAAGGCCAGGAAGTGATAAGGATGGTGAGGCTGGAGAAGGAGAGCATGTGTGTTTCATGAAAACTTGGGACATGTGGAGCCTCAGGGACCCTGGGGGCATTGGCCGTAGATCTCAGTTTTGCTGCCCAGTTGGATGAATAAGAAAGCGTCCCCACCACTGTGGATGTGTTTGCTGTTCCTTCTAATATCAGACTTCTGTGAGATAGTCAGTGACATTTCCAATCTCTCTCTTTTAAAAATAATAAAAAAGTAGTTTATTTTCTTCCATTGTGTTTACATTTGAAAAGAACAGAGGAGGGCAACTTTTGCTTCCTGCCTCTCCCAAACCCAATATCTTCCCAATCCTTCCCAGGCCAGCTGTCAGTCAGTCCCTCTCCTGGCAAATGAAATCCACCAAAAACAAACATTACTATTTGCTGAATATCTCAGGTATCGTATAAAAGAAATTTCCAGCTATTTAAATAAAGGCATTGCCTTCCACAGTAGAAGAGCCCTGGGATTTATTTTTGAAGCACTTAAAGTAATAGAAATTCAAATGCTGATATTTTCTTCTTATAGTCTGGATTCTCAAGTGCTTTAGATATCTGTTGATGAGTTCCTCCTATTTTTCATAATTTCCCTATCAAGCAAGTTCTCTGTGTCCCTCCCACTCCAGACGAGTGGCGGAGGGGAAGCTGAGGTGAGCCCCACGGTGGTCCCTCAGCAGGGCACCATAGGGCTGAGCACAGCCTCTCGGTCCCCGGATGCCCGACACACACACCTGGCACAGTGGCCTGCACATAGTAGGCAATCAGTAAAAACCTCTCTCCTTTTTTCTCCCCTCCCCATTTTTCTCTCTCAGTGAATGGAGGCTGGTCTTCCTGGACAGAGTGGTCAGCCTGCAATGTTCGCTGTGGTAGAGGATGGCAGAAACGTTCCCGGACCTGCACCAACCCAGCTCCTCTCAATGGTGGGGCCTTTTGTGAGGGAATGTCAGTGCAGAAAATAACCTGCACTTCTCTTTGTCCTGGTGAGATATATGCACATTCCCTTTCCCCTTCCGATTCACCAACAGTATTGCGCTGGTGCGAAGCAGTCTCTATAACCTTCCTCCCAAAGTCACCTTCCCCAAGCCCTGAGACTAGAGCCCCTGTCCGTGGTGCTAATGTGGAACCCATTGTAGTCACAAGAATGTCGGGGAAGCTCCTCTGTGCAATGTCTTGGGACATATTTTTTTCTAATGCTCAGATAACACTGAACACTCGTCATCAATAAGCCAAATGCTTTGAGCTATTTTCATGCTACCCATGTTTGGTGGGGCTAAGCCATCTCCTTCTCTCCTTGGGTTCTCCCATTTGGTGACAGGCATTTGTATGAAGGGTCTTCAGGAAGTTCATGGATAATGTATATGATGGAAAAAAAAAAGACTATGCATGGATTTCAAAATTGTTTGCACTAAAACAAACTCATACTTTAATTCCATTTTCATTAACTTTTTGAAGTACCTTCATATAATAGAAAAGATTTCATTGGTTGCCTATGAGCACAAAAAAAAATCAAGTGCCAAAAATCTGACCCCTTATCATCAGATATCAATCAATTAACCGTATTGGATTTAGCCATGTGTTTGTTTACAGTATAATTGACAGAGATTGCACGCTGTCACAGCTGTGTATACTTTTCATTTGTCCTATGCTTGCCTTTCTCTCTGAATAGAGAGATACCTCACGTGCCAGATACGGCTTTCATAAGTTCTTTTGTTCATATCTTCCTGGCTGAAACCCAATTTATACAATAAGAAATAGATGAGATGGAAGATGACTTTCTTTATGGAAAGCATATCCTCCCACTGAGAAGTAAATTGCTCCTGGGTCTCGCATGCACTACAGAACATTGACTTCAAGGACTCTGGACCAGAGCCTCTCGTGCCTTTAAAATTTTAAATTTAGTTCCACTCAAGTGAAGGTGACGCTCTCACCAGCAGCGTGTTTTTGGAGTTTCATTTTGAACTCCTCTAGTACACATTTATTGAGTGCTTACTATGTGCAGGTACTGTGCAGGGTACTTTTACACACGTAGTGCCACTCAGCTCTGTGCTGTGACTGTTAGTTCCAGTTGGAAGAAATGGTAAAGTGATTTGCCCAGGCTCACTCAGCCAATAAGTTCACAGAACTAAGACAAGGACTCAGACATTTTCGTCCAGATTCAGTCTTTTTAATATTACCCTAATCTTGGCTAATTTCTTTAGATGAAAAATTGCAATATCTTAAATAACCCACTGAAGCTATGGTTGGATTATCCCTACAAGATAATAGGGCCATTGCTTCAAAGAGCTGCCGTCACCTCTCAGTTGATTTTTAGTGGAATTAAACTTAGCTTTTTGTGTTTTTTTGTTTGTTTATTTGTTTTTGTTTTTGTTTTTTATTTCTAAGTACAACAGCAAACCATGACCCAAGAAAATCTGTTTATGTAAATCCCAGTGTTTTGGGGTTTGACTGACCTGTTTTAGTTTAATATTATCAATTTATTTGGGTTTAACTGTTTATTGTTCAGGGGCATACAGGACTTGAACATCATTCATTCCACTCTCTGTTGTAAACTGTCAACCACAAGGAACTGGTTGGTTGTCCATGGTTACTGCACACAATTCATTTGTCTATGGTGCATTGGGGATGAAAGACTGAGAAAGAACAGATAATGCCATTATTAGGCAACATGGAGTACCAGGATTTGAATGCTTACCTAAATTCAGGAGTTGTTGCATTCTGAAATAGCAAGAGAATTACATCACTCATTTGTGAGTCTATCTCTTTAGGAAAGAAACCATGGAGAGAAGATAAACTGATAAATTCTTTCATTTTGCTGTGTTGTTGGTTTCTTTAAAGTTCAGCTCTAAGAAAAGCAGCAGTCCTGGGGTGAGGCTCCTGACAACTGCTTGGCTCTCTCTAATGATGGTTTCCTGTGTTTCCCTTGAAGTGGACGGGAGCTGGGAAGTGTGGAGTGAATGGTCTGTCTGCAGCCCAGAGTGTGAGCATTTGCGGATCCGGGAATGTACGGCACCAGCCCCGAGGAATGGGGGCAAATTCTGTGAAGGGCTAAGCCAGGAATCCGAAAACTGCACAGATGGTCTCTGCATTCTAGGTAACCCTTTCCACTTTACATTGGAAACATTTGTTCATGGTATCCATATACTCATCTACCTCAAGAAAGACTGCCATTACCACTTACATGGTAAAATAAAGCCAAATCACCAAGAGTAAAAGAAAAATGGGTGGAAAGTACAGAAAAGTAGACAAATCTATGTTTTACTAGACATGGGTAGTTTTAAGTAGTTTATCACCGTGAGTTCTATAAGTATATACAGCTATTAACCTAATAAGATAATGTTTTAGAGAAATACTGTTAAACAGTGTCTTAGCCTTTCCTTTTAGGAGCTACCATTTTTAAGTTTAATAAAAGTCTTCTACTGATCACCATGTGCTTACATTTCTCCCAAGAATTGTGCAGCACCATCTAGCTTTTAACAAATTTGGTAGCACTATAAAGCATGTCATGGCCATGGTTCTGCAGCAAGGAACATGTGTTGTGTTTGTTACCTTACTAATGGTAGGAAGAGAGAGGCAGGTTGACCCCTGAGGAAGTGGGTGGATTTGCATCACATCTGTCTAGCAGAGCGGAATTAGACTGTCCATTTCAAAACTCCCAGGTCTTTGGGCTAGCAGGTGGCATGGAAGTTAAGGCAGCTGATCCCACATGGATGACTTCACTGTTCAAGTCCTGGGCCTAGCAGCTTGAAAAAATACTGAGCACATGTACATGCTCATCCAGATTTCTTGCTTTCTGTCTCTCCCTGTCTCTCCAGTGAGTATACATGTCCGATGGCAAAAATATCTCTTAAAAAAAAGACATGAAAGTGAAACAGCTTTTAATTTGATGCTATCCCTAATTAGCATTGTGACCCTGGAAAAACACTTAATTACTTAATTTCTCTGACTATAAGTACAAAAACAATACTCACCTAAGGTTATTGTCAAGATTAAATGGCAAAAGAATCTATATGCATGTTGTGGTACTGTGTAGGTACTCAATACATATTAATCTCTTTGATTTTGATTGAGTCCTTAAAAAACATAACACTGAGGGCATACTTATTCTCTAGCCCTAGGTTGATCTCTTGGAAAATTCTTTGGGAAATGTCCAGCAGAAAATATAATAGTTTATGGTCTTACCAGGAATATGTGTTGCATTTTATTTGGGAAGATGCCAATCCACAGGAAATAGGTATCTAAGTTGGGTTGACTTTTTTTGCATCAGTAAGGCTTAAAGGGAAGCCCATACTGTTATATTTTCAAAATAAATATGTAAGGTTAATGACTTGAATGAGCACTTGCCAAAGCCCTACGGCCTTTGTTAGTATGAGTGCTGAGTGCCCACAGGTGTCAGTAGATCAAGAAGTTATAAGAGAAGACAGCCTAACTACCAGTCTCCCTGACAAAAGGGCTATGCCCTCCAATGAATACAGACCAACCATCTGCCTTATTCACAGTACTGCCCCACTTCCTCAGTGTAAGCAAATGAGGCACAGAATGTGTCTCAGACCAACAGGTGGCATGGTGGTTGAGGTACTGGACTCCCTCATGGCAAATTACGGTTTGAGTAATTTGGTCAGGATCTAGTGGCTCACTTTCACTCTCTCTCTGTATCTCTCTTGTGAGTGTGCATGTCCTATAGCAAATTAAAAAATACTAATACATAAAATGTATTTGTTTTTAAAAAAAGAAAGTGTCTCTTTGGCCACCTGAATACCATCAGGTTTTTCGGAAATAAAATCTCAAGGTGTGACTATTTCTTAATGTTGTGGCCATGTTTTTAAATTATACTATTCATGCTGTCAATTTCATATTTCTTGTAAAGAATAATGAGAATATAACTACTTGGCTACTGGTTGAACTTTAGGTAATCATAGTAATTTTGCCATCAACTACAGATTGGTCTTTTCCCATCAACTACAGATTGAACTTACATGTGGGAAAATCCATGGATATCAGGCTTTAACCTTAATTGACTAAGATTTAGTCTGAGAATTCCTGACTGAAGACAGACAGTAGTTAACTGTGAAAGTGATGAAGTTTCTTGGTTCATTATTGTGATTCTAACAGAAATATCTGAGACTGAAGGACTTATAAAGAAGTAGAGGTTTATTTGACTCATGATTTTGTTGGCTGCAAAGTCCAAAGGTGTAGGACTGGTATCAAATTGATGAAATAGATTGGGCATAGCCATCTTCCTTTTACAACAACCCATTCTGACAAGAACTAACCCTTTCTCAGCAGGTAGAACTTACCTAATCTCTCACAAGACACCATTTATCCACTCATGAAGGCTATGTCTCCATCATCCACTCACTACCCAGTAGGCATCACCACCTCCCAACATTATTACATTGGGAAATAAATTCCAAACCATGAAATTTTGGAAAAGAAACCATTATCCAAACTCTAACAAAATAATTGCAACAAATACATGAATGTTTTTATTTGCACTAATGTGGTATGTAATCCTTTATCAGTTGAGTAAAAGTTCTGTTTAGGGCTGAAAGGCATTGTCAGAGTACTGGGAGTTGACTGACAAACCTTGTCTTAGCCCTAAAATCTGAGAGATGTTGTATTAGTCAGGATTTTCCAGAGAAACAGAACTGATGAGATACACACACAGAGGAAGAACAGAACTGAGAGATATGTACTATAAAATATTGGCTCTGCAGTTATGGAGGCTGGCAAGCCCAAAGTCTACAGATCCAATGTCCCAGTTCAAGTCCAAAGTTGGCGAGCTTCAGTAGAACCTGGAAGACCTGATGTCTCAGTTGGAAGCCTGTCAGGATGAGCTGATGTTCCAGTTGGAAAGCTGTCAGGAAGGAGAATTCGTTTTACTGCAGGGAGGATTTTGTTCTATTCAGGCCTTGAACTGACTGAATGAAGCCCACTCAAATTATGGAGGGCAACATGCTTTGTGCAGTCTGCACCTGTAATTGTTCATTTTGTCCACAAACACCTTCACAGAAATACCTAGTATAATAGATGACGTATTATCTGGGAACTCCATGTTCCAGTCAGTTGGACATAGTCATCACAGATGCATATGTACTTGTAAAAAGGCATACTTCTCGGTTGGCCCCATTAATGCAGCAGTTGAGTGCTGTTCAGAGAAAGCAGGATCCCACATGTTTGACCAGGGTTCAATTCCCAATCTCAGCAGCTAAAAAAAAAAAAGAAGAAGAAGGAAAAGAAAAGAAAAGAAAAGAAAAATACCAGATGCATGTGTGTCTAGGATCTTAAGTGGGTGGGAAATTGAAGGATTAAAAGGATTGTGCCTTGACCAGGCCCCATTGGAAGTGTGCCCACACTTTTTCTCTCACGCATGTGCACATGCTCTCTGGCATAAAAGATAGTTTAAATATAAATAAATAAAAGATGAATTCTTTCCTTGGAGGCAGTCATGACCTTAGTTCAGGCAGTAGCTTTAGGCAATTCATTGGTTTACTGACTGAACCCTTCCTGCCTTCCTGCAGCCATTAAACAGATGTAGTTTTGGTCATATGTAAGTAACTGTGAACATTTTGTGAACATGAGAGAGAGAGAGAAATTGAGAAATCACTTCCCAGGGGAGATGGCCATACTAGAATCCCTTCTCCTCAATGCCCCTCTTGGGATTTTGCACATACACACCCAGTGTGATTTTCAAGCTGCCAGTATGGGACTTGTACCATGGTTTGCCATGTGGCAATCCAGTGTCTTTACCATCACATCACCAGCTAGCCCCTGTTTGTATTTTTCTATAGTGGAAATAAAACAGGAAGACCAAGAGGCCTGAAGAATGCTCAGCACTGGAGCTAAAATCTCTATTAAATCCTCCCAAGAGGGGAAAATGCCTTCTAAAAAAAAAGTTTTGTGCTATAGGGTGTGTGTACATGCTAAAACAGAGAGAGAGACAGATAGTGAAAAATCACCCTCAAGGGGGGTGTCCATGTTGCAGTCCCTTCTCTTCCATTCTCCTCCTGGGATCTTGGACATGCACACACATGTGCCAGGTGTGAGTTTCAAGCCAATGGGCCCAGGATTTGAACCACAGTCAGCCATATGGGAGTCCAGTGATATAATCACTATGCCATCTACTGGCCCCATCTTTCTATTCAACCTATTCATTCCTTCCTTGCTTTTTTCTACTCAAGTGTGGTTTCCCCACATCCTTTGCCTTCATAATATGCATATTACGATATCTGTGAGAGATGACTGGGGGTTTTCAACCTGCAAAGTAGATAAGTGGATAAGCTTTTTGACGGAGAAAGTATGAAGTCATAAAATCACAAAGGTGAATGAGATATCTTTGCATGCAGTGGGAAAGGGGTGTGTTGTAAGAGGCCCGCACCAGGACCTATTCTGTCTTTATAGACAGAGAGTGGCCACCGGTGTCAACAAATAGGAACATTTTACTATCTCTGCAGGAAGCGGTGAGCAGTAATCCAGTTAAATGATGCCTGCATCACTCTTCGTTTTTTGCTGGGGTTCTCTTGGTGAAAGTAGCTCTGTTCTCAGGATATAGCTCCCGTGAAGGCTGGCGTTGATTAAAATAGCACTTGGCATCAGCTTTATGGAGCAGTAACTTTGTTGAAGGATCTAGGTCATGTTACAATTTGGGAATTTCCCTTATCCTAATTTTTTTTTCTTTTATGCCAAACATGACCCTAGAGCAATTCCTCAATTCCCTCTTCCTCTTGGAGATTTAACAATGACATTGCTTAGCTCTTGGATGACCTACAAGTCTTTGATTTTATTTAGCCTTCAACAAAGCGTTTGGATTTTCTTTGCTGTCCCTGAGTGTTGCGTTTCTCCCAGAGATGGAGCTGCCAGCCCTGAATGATCGCTGTAATATTTGGGTGTGATTGCTGCTTGGCCAGGTGTGACCGGAGCGCAGAACCTCAGTGTTACACTTTCACAGATGACCACACCTAACTGCTCTCAAGAAAATAAATGCCCCAAGACTGGGAAGAGTAAAATTAGGCCATTTTGCTTATAGCGTTGAGTGTAGGCATCCAAATTACAAGCAAAAGCTAGACATCCACTGCCTTCTCACTAGAGGAGTGC